TAATGTGTGTGTGTGTGTGTGTGTGTGTGTATGTGTGCGTGTATGTATGTATGTGTGTGTGTGTGTGTGTGTGTGTGTGTGTGTATGTGTATATTTGTGTGTGTGTTTGTGTGTGTAGTGGGTTATCAATTTTAGCATTCCAGTATGATCCAGTTTTTTGTATATTATTCAGCAAGTGTATACAGGTATATTATGTAATTATCTGTGGTCTGTGACCCCGAGTCTCTATCTGCCCTGTGTGTCACTGAGTATCAAACCGGGTTGTTCTCCCACACCATCCCAAACGCTAATCCTTACGCCATAAACCCTATTTATCACATCAGATTGATTGTAACACCCGAGGGTGAAGAACCGCCCGTGTTGGGAGTGGATATGCTGCCTGAACCAATTGACAAGAAGGAGCGGAGTTCCATGCAGTTGGTCTGTGACGCCAAGCAGACGTACACCATCAGCTTCCATGGTAACCAATAATTGTGTATCTTTCGGCATTGTTTTTGGTTGGACTGAGGCTACAGAGAAGTGCGCTAATTGCAATACTACATTACTACTATTGACCATGGTTATGACAATACATTCGAGCATACGCTTCCCAAATCCCCTCGTGTCACTTACATACGTGTCAAGCACACAAATGTCAGCTATTTCGAGCCCAATTCCCTCCAGGCTGATGGTTTTTGAACTCTTCCACAGGAATGTACGTCGACTTTATGAAGTGGAAAGGAGTGAATTTCCCGGGTATGCGCGACGTTGAGATCAGCTCACTTATCGGAAAAATTGCGCTTCGCATGGTGGCTTACACCGTCCCCAGGGCTTATGAAGGTATTTATTGTATCAGAGGTTATACCTGTGCGCGTTCTGTAATGATGAGCAAAACGTTATACTGACGTATACATATATATGTGTATGTATATATATATATATATATATATATATATATGTATATATATATATGTGTGTGTGTGTATGTATATGTATATGTATAATACACATTCGTCAAGCAATGTGCACAATTAATATCGAGACTGTCGAGTGGGGCACTCGACTGTTGTCAGATATATATTTTTGTATGTATGCCTAAAGTTCCCGCTATAGTTGTTCGGTATTGTACAGCTTTGCTGACTTGGCACTAAACTTATGCGAGGCAAGCAGAATGCTACAATGTTAACGCCATTTCAGGATGAACACTTCCTTGCAATCTAGCTAAACTTATTACGAAATTAATATCGTAAGCACTGGTGATGCGCTTGGCCGTGAAAGGTTTTACTTCGTCCAGTTATACTTCATGTTGTATCTTCTTGACCGCAATTGGCAAGCCCTCGCACAATTAGTTGCAGACTCTTATTCGAGGTGGAGAAGATATTCATATTTTATTTATAACCCCAACTTGGATACAAAATCCTCTATTTTTCATGTCCTACAGGTCCCCACACGGAAGCTCTGAAGAAGTATTGCTTCTGCTTCGAGATGAGAAACAACGGAGAAGATATCCTCTACCCACCGGAAGATAATATCAGTGTGCAATCCAGTACCTTCAGCAATGTCTATGCAGATGTGGTATCGAAACCTGTTCCCAAGGCTGTGATGGAGCAAAGTATGTGAATTGTATTGTTACTTTAGTATGTACGCATGTATGTACTTTCTGCTCGTGTACCCCGATGCGATGAGTAATAGAAAATATACACTAAGTACTTAAGGGGGAGGAATATGCCAGTGTACAATACATACCTTCAGTATGTCTATGCGGGCATGTTGTCGATACATTTTCCATAGAAAGTGATGGAACATCGTACTTATTCCTGATGGTGATGTAGCTCGTGTGTTGTATGATGTTGATTCTTCATGTTTTCTGGGCTGATAATATTTGTGGAAAATACCTTTCCAAGCACCAGATTTTTACTTCCTTGCTCTTGCATACCAAACTTAACAGGGATCCTCGAGATGACCAAACGCGCGTCTATAATGGAATTAGAAGAAATCCCCAACAACAGTATCACGGTGGACTGCAATATGTACTTGCTGGGATCGAGCGCAAACTATGGCGTTTGGTTTGTTCTAAAGGTAGTTGCAGTGAGCGTATATGCTTTCGTATCGCTCATGTTTATATATTGACATATATATATATATTATATCACAATATGTCACAATATATATATATATATATATTGGCATTGGCATTGGCATTGGTATTGGCGTACTGGTATTGGTATTGGTATTGGTATTGGTATTGGTATTGGTATTGGTATTGATATTGGTATTGGTATTAGTACTGGTACTGGTACTGGCATTGAGATTGGCAGTGGCAGTGGTATTGTCAATGTCAATGTCATTGTCATTGTCAATGTCATTGTCATTGTCATTGTCATTGTCATTGTCATTGTCATTGTCATTGTCATTGTCATTGTCATTGTCATTGTCATTGTCATTGTCATTGTCATTGTCATTGTCATTGTCATTGTCATTGTCATTGTCATTGTCATTGTCATTGTCATTGTCATTGTCATTGTCATTGTCATTGTCATTGTCATTGTCATTGGCGGTATATAAAGCCAAGTAGGGTATATAATCACCAGCAAGGGATTTCTATATGATCTTTATCATGCCATACTAATAGAGGTGGTGTCCAAATCATTGTTGTAGTTGAACCTTTCATTTAATTCTGGCGTAGGTGACTCATGAGAAAGGGCAGTCCTGGGCGGTCCTTCGACCGGCCGAAAGCTTCTGTGAATTAGAGGACCTCCACAATAGGGTATGCTTTTTTGTCACGCATCGCAGTGTTTTTTGTGTGCACAACCATGGCTAGCATCTCAGGTGTGCCTTATTGCGTGGCATGCGCTGAAAGGTATGCTTGTTTTCTATGCGCATCGCAGTGTGTGTGGTGTACACAACTATGGCTAGCATTGGACAGGATTGTTATTGACTGTGCATTATCATGTGTGACGCGTAGAATAGAATCCTGCCTATCTCTTATCGGAGTGTGTGTTTTCTAGACAACAAGGTATGTATCAGAAACTAGTACCGTACAGATTTTAAATCAATCGTGTCCTTTTTTGTGACTTTTTTTCAACAAAGTATGATACTTTTGGTTGTTTTTGATGTAAACAACGGGGTTCGTATGAATGTTTGACAATATGCAAGTTTCGTGTCTTAAATCCCACCATGTGTGAAATACGCTGCGGCTTTTGGTGCATAGTCCGCGTCGTAGTGTGTGTGATTTGCACAAGGGAGTACATGCATAATGCCAAGCACTAAATATATTATGTGCAACTGTACTACATGGTGTACGCAGACTATGGCCAGTTACACAACGAATTATGTATGCATATGTACATGTACCATGTATACGGATATAATATATATATATATATATTATCTATATCTATATCTATAACTATATCTATACATAAATATATACATACATACATACATACATACATCTATACACACATTCATACGTACAAACATACAATATATCGTACGTACATACATACATACATATATATATATATATATATATATATTCGTACTATTGGTTTTGTACTATTGGTTTCGTGCAAAGCTGTCGTAGTTGCAAACGCATCAGGTGATTTCACTTTACCCTGGCTGCATAACAACCATTATCACTGATCATCATTTGCTCCCATTGTCCACTTAATGGACACAGCTGAACAAGGCAGAAACAGCCTCAGATAGCGCCGGATTTACCGAATTCAGAATATCCAGGTAATATGATAGCGATGCATACTCCTGATAGAATCATAGCTTGTGAAATTATATATATATGTACATATAAATATATATATATATATATATATATATATATATATGTGTGTGTGTGTATATATATATATATATGTGTGTGTGTGTGTTGTTGTGTGTGTGTATATATATAGTGTGTGTGTGTGTNTGTAGTTATATATAGTATATAGTAGTAGTTACGTTACGGTTACTAGTAACGTAAACGTTACGTACG